CGAAAACATTTACTTTCAATACTTTTAAGTTTAGAATTTATTGTTTTAATATTATTTTTTATATTATTTATTTATTTAAATATATTAAATTATGAAACTTATTTTAGAATAATATTTTTAACATTTAGAGTATGTGAAGGAGCTTTAGGTTTATCAATTTTAGTATCTATAATTCGTACACATGGTAATGATTATTTTCAATCTTTTAGAATTATATAATGTTAAAAATTATTTTTTTTTTATTATTTTTATTACCTATTTGTTTTATTAATAATATATATTGAATGGTACAAATTATATTATTTTTTATTAGATTTATTTTTCTATTAATAAATAATTTTATAAATTATTGATCTGAAATTTCTTATTTTTTAGGATGTGATATACTTTCTTATGGATTAGTATTATTGAGTTTGTGAATTTGTTCTCTTATACTTTTAGCTAGAGAAAGTGTTAATAAATATAATAATTATAAAAATTTATTTTTATTAAATATTGTTATTTTATTATTGTTACTAGTTTTAACTTTTAGAAGAATAAGATTATTTATATTTTATTTATTTTTTGAAAGTAGATTAATTCCTACACTATTTTTAATTTTAGGATGGGGTTATCAACCTGAACGTTTACAAGCTGGAGTATATTTATTATTTTATACTTTATTGGTTTCTTTACCTATATTAATTGGAATTTTTTATTTGATAAATAAAACTGGATCAATAAATTTTTATTTAATAAATAATTTTATATTTAATTATGATTTATTGTATTTTTGTTTATTATGTGCTTTTTTAGTAAAAATACCAATATTTTTAGTTCATTTATGATTACCTAAGGCTCATGTAGAAGCTCCTGTTTCTGGTTCTATAATTTTAGCTGGAATTATATTAAAATTAGGAGGATATGGATTGTTACGAGTTATTTCATTTCTTCAATTAATAAATTTAAAATATAGATTTGTTTGAATTAGAATTAGATTAGTTGGGGGTGTTTTAGTAAGTTTAGTTTGTTTACGTCAAACTGATTTAAAATCTTTAATTGCTTATTCTTCAGTTGCTCATATAGGAATTGTTTTAGCTGGATTATTAACTATAACTTATTGAGGATTATGTGGTTCTTATACTTTAATAATTGCTCATGGGTTGTGTTCATCAGGATTATTTTGTTTAGCAAATGTATCTTATGAACGATTAGGAAGACGAAGTTTATTAATTAATAAGGGGTTATTAAATTTTATACCTGCTATAACTTTATGATGATTTTTATTAAGTTCAGCTAATATAGCAGCTCCTCCTACATTAAATCTATTGGGTGAAATTTCTTTATTAAATAGAATTGTATCTTGATCATGAGTTTCTATAATTATATTATCTTTGTTATCTTTTTTTAGAGCTGCATATACTTTATATTTATATTCATTTAGTCAACATGGAAAATTATTTTCGGGAGTTTATTCTTTTAGAGGAGGTAAAATTCGTGAATATTTATTAATACTATTACATTGATTACCTTTAAATTTATTAATTTTAAAATCTGATGCTTGTATATTAATGTTATATTTAAATAGTTTAAAAAAAATACTAATTTGTGGTGTTAGTGATATGAAATAATTCATTTTAGATCGTGAAATATTTATCAATTTGTAGAATTAGATTTATTAATTTAATTTCTATTAGTTTGTCTTGTTTTTTATTAAGTTTATATTTTTTATTAAATAATATAATTTATTTTATTGAATGAGAAGTAGTTTCATTAAATTCTATAAGAATTGTAATGACTTTTTTATTTGATTGAATAAGTTTATTATTTATATCTTTTGTTTTAATAATTGCTTCTTTAGTTATTTTTTATAGTAAAGAATATATAGAAAGAGATGAAAATATTAATCGATTTATTATATTAGTATTAATATTTGTTTTATCAATAATATTATTAATTATTAGTCCTAATTTAATTAGTATTTTATTAGGATGGGATGGTTTAGGATTAGTTTCTTATTGTTTAGTAATTTATTTTCAGAATGTAAAATCTTATAATGCTGGTATATTAACTGCTTTATCTAATCGAATTGGAGATGTTGCTTTTTTATTAGCTATTGCTTGAATATTAAATTATGGAAGATGAAATTATATTTTTATTTAGAAGTTATGCAAAATGAATTTGAAATATTAATTATTGGAAGATTAGTAATATTAGCAGCTATAACTAAAAGAGCTCAAATTCCATTTTCATCTTGATTACCAGCAGCTATAGCAGCTCCAACTCCTGTTTCTGCTTTAGTTCATTCATCAACTTTAGTAACAGCTGGTGTTTATTTATTAATTCGATTCAATATTATTTTAAGAACTTCTTGATTAGGTCAATTATTACTACTATTATCTGGTTTGACTATATTTATAGCTGGATTAGGGGCTAATTTTGAATTTGATTTAAAAAAAATTATTGCTTTATCAACTTTAAGTCAATTAGGTTTAATAATAAGAATCTTATCTATAGGATTTTATAAATTAGCAATATTTCATTTATTAACTCATGCTTTATTTAAAGCTTTATTATTTATATGTGCTGGAGCTATTATTCATAATATAAATAATTCTCAAGATATTCGATTAATAGGGGGATTAAGTATTCATATACCTTTAACTTCAGCTTGTTTTAATGTATCTAATTTAGCTTTATGTGGAATGCCTTTTTTAGCTGGATTTTATTCAAAAGATATAATTTTAGAAATTGTTATAATTAGAAATATTAATTTATTTTCTTTCTTTTTATATTTTTTTTCAACTGGATTGACTGTTATATATTCTTTTCGTTTAGTTTATTATTCTATAACAGGAGAATTAAATTGTGGAAGTTTAAATATATTGAATGACGAAAGTTGAGTGATATTACGTGGGATACTAGGTTTATTAATTATAAGAATTGTTGGTGGGAGAATATTAAATTGATTAATTTTTCCGATTCCTTATATAATTTGTTTACCTTTATATATAAAATTATTAACTTTATTTGTTTGTATTTCAGGAGGAATATTTGGTTATTTAATTTCTATAACAAAGATTTATTTTTTAAATAAATCTTTATTAAATTATAATATTTCTATATTTTTAGGATCTATGTGATTTATACCTTATATTAGAACTTATGGAATAATTTTTTATCCATTAAATTATGGTCAATTAATTGTTAAAAGATTTGATCAAGGTTGATCAGAATATTTTGGTGGTCAACATTTATATCAAAAATTAGTAAATTATTCTCAAACTTTATTTTTAATACATAATAATAGTTTAAAAATTTATTTAATATTATTTGTATTTTGAATTTTAATTTTATTTAATTTTTTATTATTTTTATATTCAAATAGCTTATATTTAGAGTATGACACTGAAGATGTTATGGAGATTGTTATAATCTTTGAATATAATGAATTAATTTTAGTAATTTATAAAAAAAAAAGATTTTTATTTTTACAATGAAAATGTAAAGTTTTATTTAAACTATATAAATAGAAGTATAAATGGAATTTAACCATTAAAGAAAAAAAGTTAGCAGCTTTTACTTGATCACCATACTTCCTTAATTGAGGCTATAGCCTACTTATATCATTAACAGTGATACGCCTCTATTTTGGCTTCAATTAAAGAATAAGGGTAAAATTACCTAAGGTTAGGTCGAAACTAACTGCAATTTATCGCTTCATATTCTTTAATAAGGTAGATTGAATATTCAATACTTTTTAAATGCAAATCAAATGTTATAATTAACTACAACCCTATTAGTTTGATCAATTTAATATTCCTTGATTTCATTCATGATATAAACCAATCAATAAAATTAAAATAAAAATAATTGAAGTAATTGTTCAAATTAAAATATTAGAATATTTTAAAATAATAATTATAGGTAGAATTAAAGCAATTTCTACATCAAAAATTAAAAAAATAATAGTAATAAAAAAAATCGTAAAGAAAATGGTAAACGAGAAGATGATTTTGGATCAAATCCACATTCAAATGGTGATCTTTTTTCTCGGTCAATTAAAGCTTTTTTAGAAAGAATTGAAGCTAAAAATATTACAATTGTTGTAATTATTAAAATTAAAGAACCAATTAAAATAATTGAAAAAATTATTTATACTATTTATTAATAGACCTTATGATTGGAAGTCAAATATACTTTTATACTATATAAATATTAATTAGTAATTAATTATCCACCTCATCAGTAGATTGTAATATATAAAAATAATCAAACTACATCTACAAAATGTCAATATCATGCAGCTGCTTCAAATCCAAAATGATGATTTTTTGAAAAATGATTATTTAAATGTCGTAGTAAACAAACTAATAAAAAAGTTGTTCCAATTAATACATGAATTCCATGAAATCCTGTAGCCATAAAAAAAGTAGAACCATAAACAGAATCTGCAATAGTAAATGGGGCTTCAATATATTCATAAGCTTGTAAAATGGTAAAATAAATTCCTAAAATAACAGTAAAAAATAAACCTTGAGTAGTTTGAGAATGATTATTTTCTATTAATCTATGATGAGCTCATGTTACTGTAACTCCAGAAGCCAATAAAATAGCAGTATTTAATAGAGGAATTTGAAATGGATTAAAAGAAATAATTCCTATTGGAGGTCATGAAGCACCTAATTCAATAGCTGGGGAAAGACTTCTATGAAAAAATGCTCAAAAAAATCTTACAAAAAATAATACTTCTGATAAAATAAATAAAATTATTCCTCAACGTAATCCAATAGTTACTGCATAAGTATGCAATCCTTGGTATGTTCCTTCTCGAGACACGTCTCGTCATCATTGATATACAGTTAAAATTGTAATAATATTACCTAAAAAAAATAATGAGATATCATATTGATGAAATCATTTTACTATACCTGATACAGTTGTTATAGCTCCAATTGCTCCTGTTAGAGGTCATGGTCTATAATCAACTAAATGGAAAGGGTGATTTGAGTGTGTAGACATTAATTTACTTCTCTAGAATATAATGTTCTTAATACTGCAAATACATAAGATTGAATTATAGCTACAGCAGATTCAAGAACTAATAAAGCAATTTGTCCAACCAATAAAAATGTTACTAATATATATGATATTGATGGTCCTGTATTACCTAATAATGTCAATAATAAATGTCCTGCAATTATATTAGCTGTTAATCGAACAGCTAAAGTTCCTGGTCGAATAATATTTCTAATTGTTTCAATACATACTATAAAAGGTATTAAAATAGCAGGTGTTCCTTGAGGTACTAAATGAGCGAATATATGTTGTGTATGATTGATTCATCCATATAATATAAAACATAATCATAGTGGTAATGCTAATGATAATGTTAAAGTTAAATGACTTGTTCTTGTAAAAATATATGGAAATAATCCTATAAAATTATTAAATAAAATTAATGAAAATAATGAAATAAAAATAAAAGTAGATCCATTATGTCCTGAAGGACCTAATAAAGTTTTAAATTCTTTATGAAGAGTTAATAAAATAGAATTTCAAAAAATATTATAACGAGAAGGCATTAATCAATAAATTGATGGAATTATTAAAAGTCCTAAAAATGTTCTTAATCAATTTAATGATAAATTGAAAATTGCTGAGGGGTCAAAAACAGAAAATAAATTTGTTATCATTTTCAATTTATTGAATTTAAATTAATATTTTTTAATTCATTAGATTTAGGTGAAGAAGGTATATAAGAATAATAATTAATTGAACAGAATAAAATAAATGTAATAGAAAAAAATAATAAATAATAATAATCATCTAATAGGGGCTATTTGTGGAATTAAAAAATATTAATATTTTAATAATTTTAGTTTGACATACTAATGTTATAAGTTTAACTAATTTTTTTTTCCATTAGAAGTAAGTGCTAATTTACTATAGTGTGGTTTAAGAGACCAGTACTTGCTTTCAGTCATCTAATGAAGAATTATTTCTAGAAATTCATTTAATAAAATAATTTACAGGAACTCTTTCAATTACAATTGGTATAAAACTATGATTAGCTCCACAAATTTCTGAACATTGTCCATAAAATAATCCTGGACGATTAATAAAAAAATTTGTTTGATTTAAACGACCAGGAGTTCCATCTACTTTAACACCTAAAGCAGGAATTGTTCATGAATGAATAACATCAGCAGCTGTTACTAAAATTCGAATTTGAGAATTTATAGGCAATACAATTCGATTATCAACATCTAAAAGTCGAAATCCATCTGTTGATAATTCATTTGTAGGGATTATATAAGAGTCAAATTCAATATTATTAAAATCTGAATATTCATAACTTCAATATCATTGATGACCAATTCTTTTTAAAGTTACTGACGGTTCATTAATTTCATCTAATAAATATAATAATCGTAAAGAAGGTAAAGCAATAAATAATAAAATAATAGCTGGTAAAATTGTTCAAATTATTTCAATAAGTTGTCCATGTAAAAGAAATCGATTTACATAGTTATTAAAAAATAGTATAAATATTAAGTATCCTACTAAAACTGTAATTATTACTAAAATTAATAATGCATGATCGTGAAAAAAAAATTAATTGTTCTATTAAAGGAGAAGCTCTATCTTGTAAACCTAAATTAGCTCATGTAGACATTAATTTTCTAATAAAAGTAAAATACTTTATATATGGAGCTTAAATCCATTGCACTAATCTGCCATATTAGAAATTAATTAGTTAAAAGTGGTAATTCAGAATAACTATGTTCAGCTGGTGGAGTGTTTTGATATCATTCAATTGAAGAATTTAATTGAATTGGATAAATTACTTGTCGTTGTGATACTAAACTTTCTCAAATAATATAGAAAAAAAATAAAATACCTAATAAAGAAATTGTAGATCCAATAGTTGACACAACATTTCAAGTTGTGTAAGCATCTGGATAATCTGAATAACGTCGAGGTATACCAGCTAATCCTAAAAAATGTTGAGGAAAAAATGTTAAATTTACTCCAATAAATATAATAATAAATTGACTTTTTAATCATTTAGAGTTTAATGTTAATCCAGTAAATAATGGATATCAGTGGATAAATCCAGCTATAATAGCAAATACTGCTCCTATAGATAAAACATAATGAAAATGAGCTACAACATAGTAAGTATCATGAAGAATAATATCAACAGATGAATTAGCTAAAACTACTCCTGTCAATCCTCCAACAGTAAATAAAAAAACAAATCCTAAAGCTCATAAAATAGCTGGTGAATAAGATAATTGAGTTCCATGAAGAGTTGCTAATCATCTAAAAATTTTAATTCCAGTAGGTACAGCAATAATTATTGTTGCTGATGTAAAATAAGCTCGTGTATCTACATCTATTCCTACTGTAAATATATGATGGGCTCATACAATAAATCCTAATAATCCAATAGCAAGTATTGCATAAATTATTCCTAAAGATCCAAAAGTTTCCTTTTTTCCTGATTCTTGACTAATAATATGAGAAATTATTCCAAATCCTGGTAAAATTAAAATATAAACTTCAGGATGACCAAAAAATCAAAATAAATGTTGGTATAAAATAGGGTCCCCTCCTCCAGCTGGATCAAAAAATGAAGTATTTAAATTACGATCAGTTAATAATATTGTAATTGCTCCTGCTAATACTGGTAGTGATAATAAAAGTAATAAAGCAGTAATTACAACTGATCATACAAATAAAGGTATTCGATCTAAAGTAATTCCTGTTGATCGTATATTAATAACTGTTGTAATAAAATTTACAGCTCCTAAAATTGATGAAATTCCAGCTAAATGTAATGAAAAAATTGCTAAATCTACAGAAGCTCCTCCATGAGCAATTCCTGAAGATAAAGGTGGATATACTGTTCACCCAGTACCAGCTCCATTTTCAACTATTCTTCTTACCAATAAAAGTGAAAGAGCAGGAGGAAGTAATCAAAATCTTATATTATTTATTCGAGGAAATGCTATATCAGGGGCTCCTAATATTAAGGGAACTAATCAATTTCCAAATCCTCCAATTATAATTGGTATAACTATAAAAAAAATTATAATAAAAGCATGGGCTGTTACAATAACATTATAAATTTGATCATCTCCAATCAAAGCTCCGGGATGTCCTAATTCAGCTCGAATTAAAATTCTTAGAGATGTTCCAACTATTCCTGCTCAAGCTCCAAAAATAAAATATAAAGTTCCAATATCTTTATGATTTGTTGAAAATAATCATTGTCGCGAATATAAAATTAGATTAAGTGGCTGAAGATTAGGCAATAGATTGTAAATCTATTTATAAGAATTATTCTTCTTAATCATTTATAAAATTGGTCTTATAGTCATAGTTTATGACATCAAACTGCAATTTTGAAGGAGTAAAATTTACTAAGGCTTAAAGGGAATATCCTATATTTACAGCTTTGAAGGCTATTAGTTTAATTAACTTAAAGCCTTATAGTATAAAAAAAATAAAGAAATTAAAAATAATCCAAAGATTGAAAAAAAAGTTATAATTAAATATAAATTTATATTAGTACTATTTATATTTATTTTCATCATTCAGTTATTTTCATAATAATTTAATATAAAAGCTGAGTAACAAATTCGCAAATAAAAAAATAATGTAATTAAAGTTGATATTATCATTACTGTTAATAAAAAATATTGATTACATATTGTTAATTGTTGAATTACTAATCATTTAGGTAAAAATCCTAAAAATGGAGGTAATCCACCTAAAGATAAAAAATTTATAAATATTGAAAATTTCAAAATTTTTCTATTTATAAATCAAGAAAATAATTGATTTATATGAAATAATTTAAAAATATTAAATATAAATGTTAAAATAAATGAAAGAAAAGAATAAAATAAAAAATAAATTAATCAAATAGATTCTCTAATTATAATTGATCTTAATATTCATCCTAAATGATTAATTGATGAATAAGCTATTAATTTTCGTAAAGATGTTTGATTCAATCCACCTATTGCTCCAACAATAACTGATAAAATTACTGTAATTAATAGTAAATTTTTTATATTTAAATAAGAAATTAGTATTAATGGGGCAATTTTTTGTCAAGTTATTAAAATTAATGAATTAATTCAAGTTAGTCCTTCTATTATATTTGGAAATCAAAAATGAAAAGGAGCAGCTCCTCTTTTTAATAAAAGTGCAGATATAATAATTATAGATGTAAAACTTTCATTAATTTCATTATTTATGTTATTTTTTAATATTAATAAAATTGATGAAAACAATAAAACAGTTGATGCTAAAGCTTGGGTTAAAAAATATTTTAAAGAAGCTTCTGTTGATATAGAATTATTATTATCTCTAAGTAGGGGGATAAAAGATAACAAATTAATTTCTAAACCTATTCAAGCTCCTAACCAAGAATTAGAAGAAACTGTAATTAATGTTCCAATAATTATAATTGTGATAAATAAAATTTTTGATGAATTATTAAAAATTAAAAAGAAAAGGATTATAACCTTTATAAATGGGGTATGAACCCAGTAGCTTAATTAGCTTATCTTTTTAATAAATTATATGAAAGATATATATATATATATTAATAAATATATTTTAGTGTACGATGCACAAAAGTTTTTGATACTTTTAGAAATAGTTTAATTCTATTAAATATAAAATCTTTATATTTATAAACATATAAATGTATCAATGAATGTAGAAAACTACATAATTTACCCTATCAAGGTAACCCTTTTTATCAGGCAATTCATTAATAATAAAGTTTTCATCTTTTTTTTTTTTTTTTTTTTTTTTTATTTATTTATTGTTATTTTTTTAAAAAATTACAAAATTTTTTTATAGATTTATTTAAATTAAATAATACTTTTTAGCACAAATTTAATTATTATATAATTTTTAATTAGATAATTTTTTTTTCTATATATATATATATATATTAATAAATTATTTTATATATATAAATATATAAATATATAATAATTAAATTAATATTTATATATTTATACATATATTAATATTTAAATATATAATAATTTATTAAATATTTATATATTTATATAAATAACATAATGTTAGATAAATATATTAAAATAGATTTTTTTTTACTATTTATATAAACATTTTTGGATTGCGAAATTTTTTATTTAAATCATTAAACATATATTAATATATTAAATATTTATATATATATAGATATATATTAATTTTTAACTAGTATATAAAAATTAAAAAAAAAAAAAAAAAAAATTAGGATTTTTAATATTATAATTTTTGTTAATAATTATTTCATTTTATTTGATTTATATTTTATAAAATTTTTATTATTTTATATAATATTTTATAATATTAAATTTTAATTTATTATTTAAATTTATTAATATATATATATATATATATATATAACATATAAATTTAACATTATTAGTATTATTATACTATTAATAATTATTTACTTTATAATATAATATTATAATTTTTAATTTTTTTTATTAAATTTTATTATATAATAAGGGGGTATTATCCAGGTTTAGTGATTATTTAAATTTATTAATATATAATATTAATTATTAATATTATTATACTATTAATAATTATTTATTTTATATTATAATAATAAAAATTTTTAGTTTTTTTATTAAATTTTATTATATAATAAGGGGGGTATTATCCAGGTTTAGTGATTATTTAAATTTATTAATATATAATATTAATTATTAATATTATTATACTATTAATAATTATTTATTTTATATATTATAATAATAAAAATTTTTAGTTTTTTTATTAAATTTTATTATATAATAAGGGGGTATTATCCAGGTTTAGTGATTATTTAAATTTATTAATATATAATATTAATTATTAGTATTATTATACTATTAATAATTATTTATTTTATATTATAATAATAAAAATTTTTAGTTTTTTTATTAAATTTTATTATATAATAAGGGGGTATTATCCAGGTTTAGTGATTATTTAAATTTATTAATATATAATATTAATTATTAGTATTATTATACTATTAATAATTATTTATTTTATATTATAATAATAAAAATTTTTAGTTTTTTTATTAAATTTTATTATATAATAAGGGGGTATTATCCAGGTTTAGTGATTATTTAAATTTATTAATATATAATATTAATTATTAATATTATTATACTATTAATAATTATTTACTTTATATTATAATAATAAAAATTTTTAATTTTTTTT